CGGTGAGAGAGAGAGAGAGGTTTGGTTAACTAATCTATTACAGAATTTTCGTTTCACAATTGATATGTGGATGATATGTTCAGCGTGTATGAAAACAACCTAGATAGTTTAAAGATACTTATTAGATTCAATGCAGTATAACCAGTGATGAAACTGACCTGTGAGGAGTAGTCAGAAAGTAAAATACCTTTTCTTGATATTCATCTTTCAAGACTGTTTTTAGAGTTTATTGCTGAAAAGAAATTATGCGATCACATAGAAAGAACTAATTCTGAAGTGTACGATGAATACACAATTCCTTTTCAACAATGAACTCTACACGCAGTCTGATGGTGTAGCTATAGGGTCACCCTTGACCCACTATCAGCAGATCTTTTTCCGATAAAACTAAAGAATGGTCCTTTGAATGAAACTATTAGCCGTTTAGAATTATATTGTCATTACGTGGATGATATCTTAATAGCTCTGAAAAGTAAGACGGATAAGAATGCTGCTTTCAGTAAGTTTAATAGTTTCCATTCGGTAATCAATTTCACAATGGAAGAGGAGAAAATGACAATATCCTATTTCTTCATGTTCTGCTGGTATGAATGTTAAATGGAACTCTAAAACGAAGTGTATTTAGAAAGCCAACATCGACAGGTGCCGCACCCCCCCCCTCAATACAAAAGGAACCTGGTGAGGTGTCTATTATGCCGAGCCACAGCTATTTGCTCAGATGACCCCAATGAGGAAGAGTTCATCATCATCTATCTATCTAGAAGTGGCTACCCAGCCAAGTTTGTAACTAAGCCACTACACAACGCGTAAAAATAGCCTTTTAGAAAAGATTCCTAGTTGCTAAATTACGTCCCATCTTTTACAACTGTAGGATTTTAGGTGCTACTGACTTATTCTGCCACTTTCAGATGCATTTGTCAATTCAAATGCTTCTGTAGAACTAGTTACGTCGGGTGTACAATGATGCAGGTTCATCGTCGAATTTCTGAGCACCATTTAACATGGTTTTGAAGTTTCTGTAGCGGTCGGATTGGTTTACGGGGTAGGGTTGTTAGCCGTATGCCCAACCTTGCCTCTTTACCCGGGCTTAGGATCGGCTAGTAACTAGTGAACTAGTTAACCGCGAGAAACTTAAAGGAAGTAGCCTCTTTCACCTATCTAGGCGGCATCGTTTCAACTACAGGCGGCGCAGACAAGGACGTCAAAGCCAGGATCAGAAGAGCAAGACAGGAGAGTTGGGCGTGGGAGGGTGACACAGAGGAAATGGTGTGAGCAAGAAATGAGAGTTTGTAGGCAGTCTTGGAGCCAGATTCAAAAGATTGCATAGAAGAGAGTGAAATGGAGACGTGCTACTGAATCCTTATATTCTACTAGGAACCCAAGGGACAAATAATAAAAATATAAATATAATACCCATCATGGTTGAGCTAGGGACAAATTAAGACAATACTTGCAGACCTAGTCGACACGGGACATTAAGTCGATACTAGAAAAGCTTTCGGAGTTATTCATGACATTCCTGTTATTTACCAAACCGATTACACACTCGCTTACTTCACACGGCACATGTAATTGCAATCCATCTTTACAAACCTAACCTTTGTATTCGACCACTTTCATTACTATGGCCGTTAGTATGATGTCACTCTTAGTACTACTTTTTGCAACACTTCCTCCTCCTTTTTTTATCACTATTCATTTGTTTTCCTATTACTGCGTAATTTTTTATTGCTTATAGCTGAACATATATCAAAAACCACTCCATTTACCTGAGAATAACCTGCTTGATATTACCAGTCTTAATTAATCTATTGATTATTTGCATCCTAACTTCTAAAACGTATCATCTTCATGACTTACTTAAAAAGTCTATGATTACTGTTCACCAGCCCCCCACTACATCATTGATATTTTGATGGAATTGTGAAACTATATACTAGTGTAGACCCCAGACGAAGACCTAATTGAAAAGGGATATAGAGGTAGTATTCATCAGGGACTAACGTCAGTTGGGGAACCATTGAAAACCTGGGAACACACGATAAATGTTCCGTCATAGCATAGGACTCCTCAGCAGTATGCACCGACGATTAGGCTAGGGAACAAACTTATGACCTTCAGGTTTCAAGGCGAACGAACTAACCGTCCAGCCACTAGGTTGGTCTTAAGTAGTTCACAATTTTCAGCCACAATCAAATGACGCTACAGTGCGACTATCACCTCCAAATGATGTCATTCTGTGATGAATACTGCTTTTAAATGAAAATCCTTATTCATCTCAAAGAAGAAATTTCTTAGAAAAATTACTTACTTATGATGTAGTAAAAATATTCTCCTTCAGTACAAACGAAGTTTGATGAAGATCCTGGGTTACAGTATAATGATTATATGTTTGGAAGATATAAGTGAGAAGGAACTGTCAACTTTCCGCCGCACATTTATTGCTTGAATACATCTCATATTTCTTAGATAATCTCCATCTTCTTATTACACTACATATAGCAAGTTTAGAAGTCATATGATGACTTTGCTATTAGTATGATCAATCAGTTTTTCTCAAAATGTCATCCAGTATCACTGTGTGCTATATCAAATAAACAATCTAATATAGTGCAACATATCCCTAAATGACTAGAAAAACAATTACATTCAAATAACCCAATAAATACAGGGGGTAGACAGACGTGATTGTCGATAGGTAGGCATACATTATAGAAACAGATCACAGGATTGACCACAAAACAGCCTTTAGACTATTGTATGGGAGCCGTTAAGACGGTACACCTAGGTTCATTGAAGCCTTAGGGATGTAAAAATATTTTCTCCACCTTTTCTTGTCAAATATAAAAAATTTTGAGGGGGTTGTGGAGATTCGGAATTATTTCAAGTTGTTATTCATCTAAGTCTGACATCAGTTGGAGGAACAGTTGTTCCTCAAAACCCTCAAAATTTAATTGAACTAGTGCTCGTTGGTGACTAGCTTCGAGAAGTATTCCCGAAGTTCCAATGACAAGTCGTGACCGGTGGAGTCAAAGCCTGATGGCCGTGAGGACAAATACTCAACGATGACATTGGGTGGCGGTTTGCGTTATGTCGTGAGCTAACAGAAGTTGGAAATATGGAGCATTGGATTCTGACCCAGTGGCTCAATGGTAACGCGCTGGTCGCGGAACCTGAAGGTCGTGGGTTCGACCCCTGCTGGTGGGGTCGTGGGTGCGCACTGCTGAGGAGCCCCATACTAGGATGAGACAGCTGCTGTGCAGTGCTCCCAGGTTTCCTTTGTTCCTCCAACTGATGTTAGTCTTCGATGAACAACAACTTGAAATATAAAAAAGTATAACGATTGTGTTGTGCTTTTTTTTTTACTTGTAGAAACGTAATTACTTTTCATAAACATCAGTGATAACTTTAAATCCAATTTATAATACTGTAAAGTTGTTCTTTTCTTCATGTCAAAGCATTAGAAACAAGTAATGTTTGTATGTCAACTTTTTGTCTTGTATGTACACTTGTTTCATAAAATATTTAACATTTTCTAATTAAATCAACTTCATTTTAAGTAGTACTTGATTAAAAAAATATATCATATTTTTGTTAAGATAAACTTTTTCATATGCAATTTAAAGGTTAGACATCTGAAATTATGTAAATAATTGAAAATTCAACAGCTCAACCAAATCGATCTAACATTAAGATTACATAATCTGTGTATTTGGGGGTTTAGTGTTTTTCCAAGGCCGTATTGATTATGAACTAATATCAGATGAAAAAAACATTAAAAATCTGCTAGTACTGAACAACTGTTTCATCCTTGTATAGGACTTCATGCCAGTACACAGTCAGGATCCTATCACACCGGGGGTCGAACCCATGACCAGCACGTTATGATTGAGCTGTCTAGTTGACCATAACTTAATGCTATGGTTGAGTATTTTTCCTTACGTCCACCAGGTTTGACCTGATCCTCACGACTTTTTATTGGAACTTTAGAAATTATCTGTCCAAGCTAGTCATTGGATTCTGACGTGATAGCTATGGAACCTGAAAGTCGTGGGTTTGAGCCAAAGGTGCGCACTCCTGAGAAGTCGCATACTAGTATGAAACACTTGTCCAGTGCTCTCAGGTTTCAATTTATGTCAATCTACGGTTAGATATGTATTTGTATATGAAACATGTAACATACATAAGCGTACATATGACTAAAAATATACACATCTCTTTCACTTACCAAAGCAGTATCATGTCAACTACAGGTCGCTGCACAGATCACAACGTCAAAGTCAGGATCCAAAAGACACCAAGACAGGCCTTCATTCATTAATCTGAAATCACCTAGGAGATCTACTCCACTCCACTCCACTCAGCACAAAGTGTGAACAAGATGCGAATCTTCAAAACTAACCTCAGTCAAGTCAAAGCTTCTAACTGCAGACACACATATATCAACAGCTGCCACCTACGCTCGCTCACTCACTCACTCACTCACTCACTCGATACTGAATATGAGATGAGATGAGATGAGAAGGCGACAAAGAATAAGCAAGAAGGAAGTTTCGCTGGCTGGTTGGCTGACTGACTGGCAGGCTGGCTGGCAGGCTGGCAGGCAACGAATCAACCAACAATCTATCACCCAACAAATATGGGGAAGGAAGTGGAAATGGATTGTATTGTATTTGATTGGATTGGATTGGACATACCGTGAGAGGATGGTTTGGGGACATGATGCACCAGATGAGGTGAGGTCGTCGGGTGGAAGCGAGATGGGAAAGTATGAGTTGTGGATGTGAGGTTGGTATGTAGGAGATTGTGTATGAAGAAGAAATGAAAGCTTGTGTGCAGTGGTGGAGCGAAACGATGACGTGCTATTGAAGCCCTACATTCCACTAAGAACCCATGGAACAAATAATAATAACAATATATCTTATTCCCCTGTTTATCATATATATAGAATAATTTTTTAGAAAATATGAGTAATCCATAATTTAAAAATTTCCACTTACTCTATACTACTAGTTGGTGAACTTAAATCACCTATTGTAGTCAATGTTAATGTTGCCCAATAAAATGATTTTAAATATCTTCTTGATATAGTTACTTGTTCAATATCATTATATGGTTGATAACCCCATGAACTTTTAAATCCTTCATATTTTGATAAAAGATAATAGAATGCTGCAAACCAATGACAACCTAAAAATAATATATGAATTAAATTTAATACTCTCCATAAATTTGGAAAAATTGTTCTATTCTCTACACGTAATTTCCATTGACGACATCGATATAATTTAAAAAATCTTGGAAAACGTAACATTGGTTGTATACCATATTTAAATTGTAATATATCCAATGGTAATAATGAAATAATATCTAATAAAAATTGATATGATTTAATATAATGTCTAATTAATTTATTATGTTCATTTACTGTTAAACCACATTTTAAATAACTTGTATTACATTGAACAAATATATCAATTAAATAAATTATATCAGCAATTATATCAAATGATAACCAAATTATTTGATAATTTGATTGAATATCATTGAATGCTTGACGTGCTATCGGTGTCCATAAATTATACAATAATGCTAATGATACAAATGTTAACCATACTATATAACTTGTATTATTTGGATGAAAAATAATTGAAAAATATAATTGTTTATAATTAAATAAAATTTTAGAATTTTTTTTATTTATTCTTTCATTATTTATATTAATTTTATTGTTTTCTATTGAATTATTATTGTTGTTATTGTTTAAATTATTTGTATAAGAATTATTTGGTGTATTTAAATAGAATAAATTATTAGATGATGATATATTATTTGAAGTTTGTAATAATAATTCCTTTTCAATAGGATTTATTTCTTTATAACTCTTAGTATAATTTATTTCTTCACTTTCATTTATCTGATTCATTTCATCACTTTTTTTCTTTTGTATATTTAATTTATCTAATGAATATAATTCATTCATTAATGAATTAGTTGAAAATTCATTAGTTGTATATGTTCCACGTCTTTGTGTTGAAAATTTATCCATAAATGAATCTTTTCTAGTTGATATATGATGATTTGTTTTACGTCTACGTTTTACATGATCCATTGTAGCTAAAACAACTTTCATTGTACATTGAACATTTTTCCAATGACGAGAAGCATTTTTTGAAACATCTTTTGAATTAAAACAATATTTATCTGATTCTGTAGTAATATTTTTAGTTAACTTCGTTAATTTTACTAATGGTAAATGAACATTTGAAGTAATTGTTGTTTGATCAATTGAAGATGACTTTAAATTAGTCGATGTATACTCATTATTAATTTTATCACCATTATTTAATGATAATATATTATCAGGTGCTAAATTGTTCGTATTTTTATGATCTGTAATCGATTTTTCTAGTAAATTGTTCTTATCCACTTCGCATTTAGTTGATGAATTTAATTCGAAATTATTATTTGTAAAATCACTTGTCATTATTATAAATAGTGTTACGTTCAAAGATGAATAATAATTTGTTTACAAACTATTCAAGACATTTGTGAATTATTTTCTGTTTCTCATATACAGTCATAATTAATTCCATTATTCCATGTTTCCACTTAATAATCATTGGTCAAATGTTTCCTGAATTTTGATTGGTTAATTTTTTTTCAAGGTGAAAACCAATAGCAAATCAGTGAAATGAACGCACGTATGTTAGTTACACATGAGAATGCACAAATTGACTACATGTAGGTCACCAATTTAGCTGTCTAGTCATTGGTGCTCACTACTAATCAAAGTCAATCGATCCAGTTAACAGTGTAACATGATATTGTGGTACATTCTGTTTCGGAAGTTTTGGACTAAGGTTTTCGCTTGCAAGCACAGATCAACAAAATGTATATACAACTATGAGAAAAATGGTTTTCTCTTGGTAGTTTAAGCCAGCATTCAACGTTAAAGACGTTACGATTAAGTCTTTCACAACACGACTAACTTTATTTAGACGTGGATCATGAACACAAATTGTTCGATTATCAAGTAATAACTCATTCGTGATTAATTATCAACTGGATTCTGTTTGTCAGGTTCATGATGCAGTCATGCAACTGGATGAAAGATAGAAGGTTCATTTGTCAATCCTTGTTACTTCCAGACCTTTCCATAACGATAATCTCGTCTTATTTGGTCTTTCTAACCAAAATCAAGTCCAATCACCATCAACAGGAGAAACTTAAACGAAGTAGTCTCTTTCACTGATCTAGGAGGCATCATTTCAACTATAGGTGGCGGCACAGACGAGGATGTCAAAGCAGCCAGCATCGGAAACACAGCAAGACAGACCTGCTTTCATCAACCTGAAACCAGTATGGAGAACTACTGCACTACACTCAACTCAGCATAAAGCGTGAACAACATCTGGATTTCCGACACTAATGTTAGTCAAGTTAGTGCTTCTGTGTGATGTTTGAGAGAGTTTGCGTGTCGCGAAAGCATTTCCAACAAACTACAGATATTGATCAATAGCTGGCTACTCTGGCACGATACTGAAGATCAGATGGCCAGAACAATAAGAATAAGCAGCAAGGAACTCTGGCTAGCTAGCAGCGAACAAACCAAGAACCTATCGCTCAACAAATATGCATAAGGAAGTGGAGATGGATTGGGCATACACTGAGAATACCGACTGGGGACATCACCCGTCAGGCCGGGCCGTCGAGTGGAAGCCGAATGGGAAACGACGAGTTGGGCGTCCCAGCAGAGGGTGACATGGAGGATATTGTATGTGAGGAAGAAATGAAAGCTTGTGGGTAGGTGTGGAATCAGGTTCAAAAGAGTGCAGAGAAGAGAGTGGAATGGAGACGTGCTACTGAAGGTCTGTGTTCCACTAGGAACTCAAGTGATAAATAATAATAATAAAAAAACAGAGCCACGTGAAACCCATATGAACAAAACATAAAATCTTTGTCAAAGCTAGAACAACAAGTTCAACAGAACAAGATGAATTCAGTTTATTTCGTCGCCTTCTCCTCAAATACATACAGGCTATAAATTCATAAGATGTAAACATAGTGAGATTAAAATAAGATCCACACAATTCGCTTATCATGAAGATGATGCTCCAGTTATGGCAGACCAAGCAAGAAGTGATACAGATTAGGAAGGATTTTGAGGGGGTTGTGGAGATTCGGAAATATTTCAAGTTGTTATTCATCGTAGATTGACATCAGTTGAGGGAACAAAGGAAACCTGGGAGCACTGCACAGCAGCTGTCTCATCCTAGTATGGGGCTCCTCAGCAGTGCGCACCCACGACCTTCAGGTTCCGCGGCCAGAGCGTTACCATTGAGCCACTGGGTCAGAATCCAATGGTCTGTATTTCCAACTTCTGTTAGCTCACGACATAGCGCAACCGCCACCCAATGTCATCGCTGTCCAGTGCTCCCAGGTCTCCTTTCTTCCCCCGAATGATGTCAGTCTTCGATGAATAACAACTTGACAGATTAGGAAGGTTTAAACGAAATGATTCATTGTGATAACTAAGGTTGAATATATATATAGTCAATCACCAATGACAACATGGATTAGAAAGTATTATGTAAGTGTACACGATGATTTTATAGTGTAAATATAGAGTCAGAATGCTTTTTACATTGGTTGAAGTAGTAAGCTTGTGGAGATATAATAGGAATTGATTGTGTAATAGGTATATATTGAATGATGAAAGAAATCAATGGCTACCATGAAAGTTGGAGGATACTAGCTGTCTCCATTTGGATGCATAAGTTTGGTTTAATTCTTCTGATGACACTTGCTTCGGCAAATCTTAGTAGGCTAGCATTGTTTGTTAATTATTTTGAAAGTTTCCGAAATTTGGACGTTGTGTCTAGTGTCCGTCATATGTTAAGTAATGAAACCTTTAAGGCACATTATCTCTTTTCAGCTTATTTGTAATGTGTTCACGAAATCTAGTCTCAGACGGGACGACAGAGAAGAATGACGGTATGTTTACTATTTACATATAGTACAGTAGTCGTTAAATATGGTTCACTTTGCACGGAAACAGTCATTTGCGAAATATACTTCATTTCCTCTTTTGCTTCCCTCTTGGTTTGTTCTTAATACACTCCCTTTGTCTCTTGCACTTATGTATGCAGAATCGTTACCCATTGCTGGTAATTCCCTATGATTTCTGGCACCCTCTCAACATATACTACTTATATCCATTCTTATCAGCAACGCCCACTAAAGCAACAATAAATATTTATGATCTCCAAGTGTTGCATCCAATCATTAAGAGTAGTCTGCTCAAAGCCACTAAACGTTTTCACTGGCTAGATTGGAACCTTTTATGAAAGAAAATTCATTGACTGAATCAAATTAACTTTCCCGATGCTTTCGACTTATTGCTCCACAATAGACGAAATGGAATTTACTACTGACCTTTTAGACTGAAACATGGGAGTATCTTCTCATCAGCATATTTGACTCTTCGTAGACACCGTGGTGTCTCTAATCGGTAAAGTACGTGTCAGATTTAAATGAACTGGTTATGGAATGATAAGTTTTTGCACATTCATGGCCTGTTTCCGCTAGCATTGGGATCCAGACACCAGTTTTGTCAATAACATATAAACTATACCCTTCGCACAATAAATGGTTACCTGGTGGAGAAAGCTCTAGCGTTTGAAGTGATCGATTCTGGGTAGGTATATTTAACTGATGAGTCACAAATGGAACGAATCTTGTATCTCGGATTCCGTTGCTGGCCACCATCCATCATTATTATGAAACTAAAACTACTAGTAACATTGAGGCATCAGTGCAGGAGCCTATATGGCTTCCTGTCGACTGCCTCCAGCCTCCAGCTAAGTTCGGAAACCTTGGTTAAATGATAACATGTTTGCTGAAAGACCTGGCGGTTCTGAGCTCAATTCTTAATTAATTCATCGATTTATCTTGAAAATTAGGAGGTAACTGTCTAACGTTACCAGTTTTTCAGTATTTAAAAAAAAATTTTAATTCATATTCAAGGTTGTTAATCACATTAGGTAGACATGCCTAAAATAATCAGTAGATTCATTTAACTATTGATTCATGGATTAGTGAAGAAAATCCATTATAAGCCAGATTAGCAGTTATCAGGATAAACAAATTTCATAAACTGTTTATTCTCTATCAAAATTCATTGAAATTAGGAGAAATATATCATAATCACGCAAACATAATCACATTCAAGGTCAGTGTTGATTCTGAATAAGCCGAATCGCGTGCTTAAGTCAATTATAATGAGACCAGTTACAGTAAATCGATGACATGAATAATTCAGGAGCATAAATAACTCTGATATTTGAATATCATTTTTCTTTCATTTCATTGATTTCACTGATGAACTTTAAGGATCGTTCAGGCCATAGTAATCAGTGCAGTGTCTTAGAAGATGAAATAGCCGGCTATGAATATACTGATCAAATTGCGACGCTACGCATCAACTTAGAGCATAGAATGCTAGTCAACTCAACTCTACCTCAACCTCATCAAGCTTGAAAAGGCCTTGGATCGAGGCGTCGACCCAGAGGTAATTTGGCTGGCAGCTGATTCAACACTACAGTTTTAGTGCCATAAACATTTATCAGCTTCATTCAACAGCTTTATGCTATATGATGCTACATGTCAAGTGATTCACAATGAAAAGTTCAGTGATGCCTTCAAAGTGAAGACAGGAGTAAGACAAGGTTGCCGTCTACTATCACCAACGATCTTCCTGACTGTGGTCGGCTCGACTAGACTGGATCATGCAACAATTTGTAAGGAGCGAGAAGATGAGCACACGCTGTTTGACCGATGAAAAGACCCCAGAAGATGATCTGGATTTTACCTATAATGAACATCTACAGGCAGCGAAGATGGGATTTCCTTCAGGTGAACATAGAGAAGACAAAGGTAGTGAGGATACCCGACCAACAACAACAACGACAACAAGCATCAATCACTACCAACGGGATAAATCTAAAGGAAGTAACCTCTTTCACCTACCTAGGCAGGAAGCATCGTCTCAACTATAGGTGGCGGCACACATAAAGATTTCAAATTTAGGATCGGAAATACAGCAAGACAGGCCTGCTTTCAACAACCTGAAACCAGTGTGGAGATTTACTGCACTACACTCAACTCAGCATAAAGCGTGAACAACATCCGGATTTCCAACACTAATCTCAGTCAATTTAGTGCTTCTGCGTAATGGTTGAGAGACTTGGTGCGTTACGGAAAGCAACTCCAAAAAACTATACACATACAACATCAACAGCTGCCATCTACGCTCTCTCGTTCACTCGATGATATCAGATCAGGTGAGAAGGCAAGAAAGAATAAGCAATAATGAACTGTGGTAAAGAACTAACGAAGAACCCATTGCCCAATAAATATGCAGAAGAAAGTGGAAATTGATTGGATTGGATTGGACATACCGTGGGAAATCTATTTGGGGCAACATGTGCCAGGTCCTCGAGTGAAATCCAAATGAAGAACGACGACGGCAATCGTGGTTCACGACGTCATCTATCACAGTGACAAAAGA